ACACTTTATTCACATGCTTATAGAATACCATGCAGGGTGGTCAGGAGGAATGAGGTGAGTCCATCGACATGTAAGGGCTCTGGAAGCTAGAGACTACCTTCACGCCTTCTTCCTCCCACTAGCAGAGCAGCGAGAGGGTGAGGAAGTAGCATAGGCAAGGTACATACCATGGGCTGCAAGGCTTTGGCCATTTCATACCAGGGCTAAACAGATTGCCTAGCTGCTTGAGGAGGGCTGTGCCCAGGAGAACTCCTCTGTACAAATTTATTCAGCCCTCGGTCCTGAAATGTGCTAGAAGCAACTCATTCCTGGCAAAGAATGGAACATGCACATGGTAAAAAGTATTAACTGAGTAATCTAGTGATTTGTCCTTTTTTCCCCTTCTTTCCTTGTGTGCGTGTGTGCTGACTGGGCTCTTCAATAGGTTCACAAAGTGTTTCCCAATGGACTAGCATCTCAGGAAGGAACTATTCAGAAAGGAGATGAAGTACTATCCATTAATGGAAAGTCCCTTAAAGGTGCAACTCACAACGATGCCTCAGCAATCATGCGACAGGCTCGACAACCCAGACAAGCTGTTGTTGTCACTAGAAAAGCTAAAGATGGAGAAAAAAATCTCAATGTTTCAATTGACTCTAGTGCATCTTCAGTAGCAAGTGATGCCTCACAAGAGCCTGGTGAGTAAGTTCAGTGGCATTGCCTTGCAGCCCCCACCTCCCAAGTGTTTACTCATCACCTGAAATCCTGGGTGTTCATAAAGCAGCTCAGCATTGGCTGTGTAAATCTGAGAACCGTGATTAAAGACAGCATGGTTAATAAAACATTCCTGAAACAGGCATTTGGAATAACTTTGTTGGAAAGGGGGAGAATTCATGGATTTCTAAAATAAAGGAACCCTTTGAAAAAAAAAAAACCTGTGATCCTCTGTATGAATTTCTGTAGACATACAAAGATTATTATTGTAGTAACGCATTTGATTGAAGGTATGACAACACAGTGAACAGTGATTCTTTATTCTAATATTATTAGATTCTAGTTCACAAGACTTTACGTCTGTGAAAGAGAATTTTGGTTCGAACAAACAATGTGCTATTGCTTAGTATAGTGGGTGGCTGCATCTGAGACACAGCAAGGTCAGATTTTTGCAGAACCTTTCACATTCTTAAGATATTTTTGTGGGGTTTTTTTCTAAAGCATAATCTGGAAATCTGTAGCTTTATTTACATACTGAAAATAAACATTAGTAGCTTTTTAGTTGATAACAATTTCATAACTAACATCAAGTCAAATATGTTTACCTGAAAATTTATTCGTTGAACAGATTTTTCTAATTCTAGAAAATGTCACCAGCTTTCATTTTTATATTTCCATTCTGCCATGAATTCAAACACAACCTTCTCTCCCCAGCTTCCCAGAGGGCCTCACAATGACAAAAAGAGGAATTCAAAGTTATAGTTTTCTCCTTCATTTGGCAGTTTATGGTGCCTTTGCAAACAAAACAGAGGTTCATTTTTTGTAACAGATGTTTTAGCTTTTCAGACTATGTGGTGCCCATCTGCTAACTTTCCATTTGTTTGCAGCAACTGAAGATACAATCTGCACTGTAACTCTAGAAAAAACACCTGCTGGTTTAGGATTCAGTCTGGAAGGAGGGAAAGGCTCTATTCATGGAGATAAACCCATCATCATCAACAGGATATTTAAAGGTAAACACACTTTAATGCGTACATGGCAGGTTCTTGGCTGATGCAAACTTGTGCAGTTCATAACTGACTGCTGATTTATACCCATGAAAATGGTATTTTTTGTAAATGCAGCATTATCCTGTGCAGTGCCAGTAATTTGTTGTATGCTGAGACCAGGTGGTTTATACCAAACACGCTGGTGATCCTTAATAAGTGAAAGATACATTAAAGACTCCTCCACACAAAGAATTAAAGGAAATTCATTTTCTCTCTCCAGGGACTGCATTAGAACAAAGCAGCCCTGTTCAGCCGGGTGATGAGCTATTACAAGTGCACACAACTGCCATGCAAGGACTCACTCGTTTTGAAGCGTGGAATACAATCAAGGCATTACCTGATGGGCCCATCACAGCTATCATCAAGAGGAAGAATCCAAGCTCTGTTACCACCAAGTCATCTGAAACTTTGTAACAGAAGGAATTAGACTACTGCCAATATTACAAACAAAAAAGGATTTTATTACTTGCAGCCATTTGGCTATCACAGCAAGATACTCAGAAAGTGCATTTGAAAAGTACACGTGATCTTACTGCCAGTTACAGAGCAAGCTGTCTGTGATAAGATGTGCACAAAATGTGCACGATTCTTATTTCAACATTCAGAAACAGATGTTACAAAGTGTAGAATTATAAAATAATGACTTTATTAATAATATACTGGTTGTAATAAAATATGTGACAGCTACAGTAGTCTCCTATTTTAAGCCATTAACTTAACAAACATCAGAAGCACATTCTGTGTTAAGTTTTCAGTCCTACTCCACAAGTCTTGCTCCCTGCATTACCTTCCCAGGAGGGAGAAATGCGTCTACAAGCCTACAACTAAATGCTGCAGGAAAGGAAAAGCCTTAAAGAATGTGTAAAGGGCGGAGAAAGTGGGATGCAACTTTGTGTGTCAAAATGACAACATGCCCTGGTATACTCCAGCTTTTCTATTCAAACTACAGAACAGCCAGACCAGTCAAAACCTGTCCAGGGTAACTTTCTACTAGCAGTTGACAGAGCCATCTCAACTCCAGCAGGCAAACACGGGGGCGGGGAAAAAAAAAGAGGAGCGTCTCTCAGTATTGCAAGGGCGAGGCAGGAAGCTGAGGTAACACAGCAGAGGTTTTTCCAACCTTCCTCAGGCCAACAGCAAGAGAGTAACAAGACCATTTAGAGCCAACTCCTACCTTCTAACCGCACTTTTTTTTTAAATGTCTTTGTGGTAATTTTGTAAGGGAAAGTACCAGAGAGAGTATTTGGAAATTAAACCTTCTGAATCCAAATGTTTATGCTGGAAACACTAAATAACTTGGAGATAATTCTATGCTTCGCATGCTGCTATTGGCATTTCGGCACTGCTGTCTATGCTCTGTATGGAATTCTACCAGCAGCAGCAGCACATGTATCTATGGCAAGACGGTCTTGTGCGCCCATTTGGTCTTCTCTGACCTACCTCATTAAAGGGGGAGATGCAACATCAGGATGGAAGTAGTGACTCACCAGCTGGAAAGCCAGATGGCTACACTGATTATTGTCCTTGGCTGTTCACCTTCCCATAGTTGGGGATTTGCTGCACCCTTCTTCAGTTACTTAATTTCACCAAACCATAAACTGCAGGAGTTCAGAAGCTATTTTCTGTTCACTTAACACAAGGTCACAGAAACAGCAATTGAGAGAAAGGGAAGCAGGATAGACAGCAGAAGGTATTCATTGAGTCCAGGCATATAATTCGCTTTGGCCTTTCTTCACAAGTCAACTCTATGTTAATCCTTGAAAGAACGTTCTGGAAAAGTCCCCTGCCCCTACACTTCCAAACCCCTTCCCAATTGAGCTGTCTTTTCCAAAAAACAACCCAGCAATCCTCAAAACAAAATTTCTATGAATTGGGTAGCAACCAGGAGAAAAATGTGAGTGGGAATCTCTTAGTACTTTTTTTTTTTTTTTACTGGTACCTGCCTGAAACTCTCTGGATATTTCTCCTTTTTTTGCAGAATTTCTTGTATTTAACTTAATCTGCATTCTTAGTTTAGGCTTAACAAAGTCTACATAAACACCTGGTGCATATAAAAGATTCTAAGAATTTTTTTTCAACCACTTGCCCATACCACCAATAATAAGAAAAATATGAATGATTTCTGTACAGAAAAGCAGACCTGAACTCTTTAGAACTGTTAAAGCTATTTCCTTAAAGACAGATCACACCTTTTGGTCAGCTTCGTAACTTTAACAAGAGAGACGGGATTAGCTACAGCCATGGCACAGAATACCTTAATTTCTTCAATGCCATCTGCTGAAGGTGTCCTCACCTCAAACAGCTATTTATTTTCATCAGTGTAAGCACTGACACAGAACCACCAAGACAGGTCTGACCTAGGTTTTCTTCCAGAGGTGCTCGTCTCACTTCACTTCCAAAGTTTTTCAGTTTTTCTATTCCTCTGCATTTCCTGGCACCTGCTAAGATCAAAAGAAGTTGAAACATGCTGTGTGACAAGCAGTGTGTCTCACTGGGGAGTCCTCCAAGATCTTAAGATCCAAAGATGATCTTTGCCAAGACATTTCCATCTCCAATTTGGCAGGGCAGAAGGCTGAATATTAAGAGCTCTTAATTCCTTCTGGGTAGAACATGCCGAGTGCTCAGAAAAGGGATCCTTAAGTTTTTCCAAGGAAGAGCCTCACCTACCACCTTTATTGCTCAGAGTGATTAAAAAAAATTATTAAATATATAATAAATAGCTAATAAAAACCCCATTGTCTGCAAAAGGTTTACTTTCAGGAATAATGAGTGGTGACCTCAGCTCTGCTCCTTGAAATTTTTGCTAATTAAATTAATCCTAGTCTTGCAAAGACTCGTTAAGATATTGAACTTCATGCCTAACAACTTTAGTACATTTAGATAAGTATGTATGAGCCTCTGTAATATCAGGGCTCAAAGGCCTCCTCAGTGAATTTGTTACTCTTCTTAAGTACAGAAAGCAGCAATCTAAATTGGAAATAAGGACCAACCAAGGGCAAAGAAGCTGGGAGGGTGAATGCTCTCACCAAAACACCTTTATCCCCACTTAGTAAGAATTGGAAATGGGAGTGAAGGCTTTTCCCTGCCTTGTTGCCTTGAATTCAGAGAGACGCTGGAGGTCCAAGTGTCTCTTATGTTTCCTTGATGGCAAAGCAGGTTCATGAGGAACCATTTTAAAGGATGATCCAGGAAAAACAGGAAGATGTTCTATGTAGCAGAAAAATATTTATTTCATCACAATCATACAAGTTTTTACATCTTTGTACATAAAGGAGACTAGATTAAAAACTGATTCCTTGAAAAAAACCTGTTCTATAGGGTGAGATTTACAGTGGGAAACTTTGTGTGCAAGTCCATGCACTATACTAAATATAAAACAAATACAGGGACAGAAAGCAGAGCATATTAACCTTGTTAAATAACTGAGTTACAGCATTAAAATCACAACCTGTATTTAAATTCCTAATTCAGCAATTAGTTTTCCTTTTGTAAGTATATGTAATCCATAGTAATGTCTGACATTCTGCAGTAACCAGCACCATAAGTATTTTCTAAAGCTGGACACATCGCTGCACACAAGATCAGAAGCTGATTTCCCAAGATAGTGCTGAGGCAAACCAGTCTTACAAGAAAAAGCAACATCCTTACGGCCTGTCAAGTCAAGACTAAGCTACAGAAAAGATTATTTACCCATTAAAACCTCTCACCACAAGAGACTGAAAAACATTCAAGTACAGTTAAAAATGGTCATTTCAAGTGTGGTTTAAAAAATTGCAAGTAAAGTGCTTAATCCTATTTATTTATTGCCACTATGTCAGTGCAGTCTGTTTCACAACATTGTGGAAATCGCTGGTTTTGGTACAGAGGGGAGAAAGGAAGAGTGTCTATTTGCCAACCCACGGACCTATGAATTGATTTGCACTGCTAGACCTTGATTTAGAAAAAAAGCACTTAAGGCACATTTACCATTAGTACTGAAGTCTGCTGGAGCAAACAAGTGGGATCCTCCACACAATCCAATTTGTTTTGGCTTTTACCATTTGCTGGCTTGGACCCCCTGAAGCATCTTAGCAGCTCTATGAGTGCTGGTAGCAAGAGCTACCTCTTCTTTTGGGGAAGGAACATTGTTCCACAGGAGTGTACAGGGAGCTTCAGAGACAAAACAGGGCTGGCCTGCACCTGGCTAATGCTCTAGTGCTAAGCAGAGGAACAATGCTCCTCCTCACAGACACTGACAAAGTGTGGCCAAGAACAGATCTAGTATGTGCATCTTCTCTCCACAGACAGCCACCATTGCTATCTCCAGGATTATTCCAGCCTCTGGTGGATGATTTGCCTAATTATGAAAATCAAGGATATTGTAATAGAAAAGAATGCATTGCTTTGAACAGAGACAGGTAGAAAATGCTGTTTTAAAAATTTACTTTACTCAATCCATTGTTCCCCTTTCCTAAGTATCTTTGCTGGTAGAAAAGTCCTGTAGGCCAACTTCCTATTTCTACCCTCAGGTTGCCAGGTTATTTCCCACCCTTGGCTGGTGATGTCAGCAATTGGTCTTGTCACACTTTTAATGCCTTAACAGCTTTGGTCAGGTTGCTGTAAAATCCAGCTATGCTAGCTGGAAAGAAGGAATCCACCACCGTCTGGGGAAGATAGCCACCAAGATCAGTCTGAAAGAAACTGAGGAGTTGAGTCCTGTCTGGCTCCCTGCAAAGACAATGTAAGTGATTTTATAGCCAGTGGTTTAAAAGCCTTATGAACTTTACAATGACTCTTATATGTATTATCTGATGATAGATATTTCCAAGTACTTTATTTTTTAAACAAACAACAGACATTAATTCCAAATTTCAATGAACGTGGCTATCCCCACAAGTCAAATTATATTTCAACTAGGCCCTAATTAGGTACATGACTCTGTTTATGAATTATGGCAATATAATAAATAACCAGATACTCATTTACCAAAAAGTAAGATCATATTTGTATGTTCTGCTGAATCTCTGCTTAAGAGGTCAGCGAGAATCCTACCATGATGATGGCTCCTGTAACATTAAAGACTTCCCTCTAGGAAACAAAGAGACTAATTCATTGCACAAAAAAGAGAACAAAAAGGGTACCCAGTCATAATGATTACCAGTCAAAGGAAGACAGAAACATGATATTGCCAAGAGGGTACAGATCGCATGTGGCCATATACACATAAACACACCACACAATGGATAACAAGGGCTTTAGAATACACTAACGTTTGAATAGATCGCTTCTTACCCTGGAAGAGGTATACAGAAACAGCCACAGGGATAATTAAAACCTCTCACAAAATTTGGTTGAGGAGGACACAGTGGGTGTTCCACATTGGTGGCTATAAGAAAAAAGCATTCAAGAAAAATGTCATTTTCACAGGAGATGGGAAAGAGGCCTTG